ATATCATTTTAGTTTGGTACTGTAATTTGATACCTTGTTTTGCAAGTGTCGAAAGCAAAGGTAGTCGATTATCACGGAAGATATGTCGACTACGGTGACCACTTACAAGACTGCTCACGGCAGAAACAGTGGTAAACAACTCGTGCCTGATGATCACACAACTGGATCTTAAATGCTGAGCTCCTTCGTTGATGTAATCGGATGCCGATTTCAACAGAAATTTGAAAATGTAATATCAGCCACACACCACGTAATACCACTGTATTTGGAACCCGGTATGAAATTGCAGCATAGGCAGACCCAGGACGTCATGGCAGCGGAACCTCAACAGGGAATGCAAGTCGACAGTACACATATCAAGGTAACAGCAAAGCAGCGCGGGTGGTGTAGTGGTAAGCGTGATTGACTCTCACCCCCAAACGGCCTGGGTTCAATCCCAGTCGGTGTCGCCGGGATTTTTTGAGGCATAAAATCTCTGATCACGGCTTCCTTCGGAAGGGAAGTAAAGCCGTTTGTCCCCGGTCCATGAGTTGATGGGTCGATAGGTAGGGTGTAGGTGTAGGAGAACTGCCTCCCTGGCGTCGGTAGCATTGGTACTCAATACGGAAAACTAGATCGACGGAAAACAAATCAAGGAAAAAAAAGGGCAACAGCTGCGCCCAGATGGGAGTCTTTCACGTTGGCACTTTGCACCTAAGTGAGTGAGAATACTGAGGAGAATTCCAAGGGAACCGAATTCTGAGGCTTATTGCTATGGAATTCTGAAGAAAATTTTAAGGAAATCCATAGGAACTCATGGAGAATTATCAGCAGATATTCTAATGAGAGCATCAAGAGTATTTGGAGGAAGATCTTATGGAAATTCAAGGAGTGTTCCAAGAAAATTCAGATGAGTGTGCTCTATGGGAAGAGAAGGAAAATTCAAAGGAGATTTTCAAGAAGAATATCAAGATAATTCCTAGCAAAGTCGCAAGGAAAATCTGAGTATAATTTCATGGTAGTTCTGAAGGATAACCCGAGGATTCCTGAAGAATTACCCTAGGAAATTTTTAAATTATTTATAGAGAGGAATCAAGCAAATTGGGAATTACTATGAGCGTACGGGAATATCAAAGAGAAACCCATGATCGATATAGAAAGGATGAATCTAAGAAAAATATTGAGAACATTTCAAAGAAACCATCCATGGCAAAAATTAAAACAAGTCAGACAACTTTAATTTTTTAAGATATACGATTCCCCAGGAATTGAATATCCAGAATTTGAAAAAGCTTTCAAAATTTTACGATTTCGAGTTAATTATTGCCTCTCTTTAATTTAGTATCCTAGCTACGCCCTTGATGACATGTTTGAAGCTGTAGAACATTTTTTTATATGAAATGTTGATACTGGTTGATCCGAAGTTGAACATTAGTGATTGCCATGGTGAAGTTTCAAGCCCTCTATTAAAAGTGTGGACGTCTGCAAAAAGCAGTTCCAATAGAACTGTCAAAATGCACAGTCTTGCTCGATAGGAACAGCATTTTCAGATTTCTGGTGACAGTCGTCCACACTTTTACTAGAGGGCTTCACTGCAGTTAGGTCACTAACACTTGAAAAATCCCGGTGGACTACTGGTTCAATACAACTATGAAAACATAGGAAAGAGGTAAAGACCTCGGTAAAGATATAACAATTTACGGGAATTCAAGCGGTTTCTGAAAGGAGACGATTAGCTGCGGTTTTGATGAACATAATCTGACCGCAGATATATAATTTTTATTAGAAAAGTTTGAAAGTTGATGTATATTGACAATGAAAACCTGATTAGTTCACCGATTCTGATGACGTCACACAAAAAATGACAAGAGCGGATTAGCTAGCCTGGTATATGTAAGCCGTGACTATTATGAACTTTCATCGGAAACCAAACAGTTTGATGATCTTTTCTTATAGTTGAACAAGAATACAGAAGTCTGTTCGCTCTTAGCTGTCGACACGAGCATTTGTGTATTTTTTTTCGGTACGAGTCACGCGATAGTCTGTTTTTCGATTGCAACTCATTGCAGTGCCTGCTCATTGATTGAAGTTCGTTCGCTTGTGCTGTTGCCCCGTTGGAAGCAAACAACTAGTGGAGATGTCGGTGGAAATAAAGCTGACGATTAGATTCAGCATTCGCACATGGCTCGGCGAAACCATGTATGGAAGAAATTGAGAATTTTGTGAAATCTCTGGACGCGGATCCCACTTAGATGATCGGTGCATATTGCATAGTGGAGGAAAAATCTATGATCATCAAGTTTAAATCAGAAGATTCCATGCTTCATTGTTTGTTGCTCAATCGTGAACAACTAATTTTCCATTATTCCGATGGGAAGTCAGTCTGGGAGCACCGTTCAATAAGTGAGAGTGTACGACACCCCATCAGAAGTCCTGGATAGCGATCTAGCATGGGTGCTATGGAAATACGGTGATGCAAAGCGGAGAAATTTCCAGCTGCCTTGGGTCTCGATATACATACAGGTGTACGGGGTCTATGAAAAAGGAGATTCCCTCACTGCATTTCCTCAATCAAAAGGGGAACATATACTATCAAGGGAACATCAATTTGTGTTTCCTCGGTAAGACGGAGGGGCATCGGATGAAATCCTATCTCTAGTAGAAGGATCAAAAGCAGCCAGTACAACAACGAACTGAAGAAGAAAACCAACAATGAGGAATGAGGAAGAGACCAGTACGTACGCTGGTGTAGTGACTGGAGGTGCATCGCCAAACGATCTGACGCCCCCAGACGCCGATAAGAACAGCGGAGAGGAAGAAAGCACGCTGCTGATAAACAACAGGTGATAAGTGAGAAAAAACGGATTATTCGTTGAGTTTGGTTTGATTTGAGGATGGCGGCTACAAGCCTCGCGACCGGTGAAACGAAACTGAGCCGGTGAGTACAGAACATGTTGTCAGCGTGATCAGTAGAGAAGCCTTGTCCACTTTACAAGGTTGTTTGTCTGGACAGATGAACCGTGCCGACCGGGTGAAGACAGTTCGAGTCTAGTGTGAGTAGAGAGAATCCTCCACCAGAGGAGCAGAACAGTAAGAGGAAGTTTATCGGTCCAAGAAGTGTAGAGGTACGAGTGATGAGAAGGTGACTTAAGACGGTTGCAGGTGAGCGGAGAGGTGCAGGAATGGTCAGGTGTAGAATCATCGAGGAATGCAGGTGGCCTCAACGGTAAAACCGTCAATTGATGTAATAATTAAGGGTTGAATATCACTGAAAACTAGTTTATAATGTATTGCTTTAGAAAAGAATTGTCTCACCCTATTCTATAGAAGAGAGCGAGCCGGTAAGTGATTGGATCATCTTTGATAATTGCGTAGTTTAATTTCTGTTCATAACAGAATCTAAGTGAAAGCTAAATAGCAACCAATAACAATGTGTAGAACACTGCAAAGAGACGTATTTTAAGGCTTATTACCGAATGCGTAACCAACTCGAGTCCCGTAGTTTTCAGACGAAAATCCGTCAGAAGTCCCTCATGGCCATGAATCGTCGACGCTTGAAACCCCGATTGAAGAGCTTTCTGATGCGACCAATACCCGTCGGTAAACAAGAAAATGATATCTCTAAGGCATGAATCACAAGTTATACACAACATATAACAGGATGTTAATGAAAATACGACATACAACGGTTAGGCTCTACAGGTAGCACGGATGCCGGAAGAGAAACAGGTGGAGATGATATTCAGTGGAGAACCCGGAAGTGCTGGTCACCTAAGGAACAGACCTCGTTGTTTTTTTGCAGTTGAAGATGGCAACTGAGAGCGATTGTCTCAGGTCCAAGCCAAACAAATTCGCTCAAAAATCACAGTAGAATGCTAAAAACTAAAATTCGACTGTCCCATGGTCTGGAAAGTTTAGTGTTCTTGTTAATCGAATTTGTTTTCCCAATAGGTAGGATACTTGGTTTCCATAAAGTGCATATGAGGCTACTCAGATGAGAAAAATAGAAAGAAAAATAATTGCGACCGTATAATGAAGTAGGAAATGAATTGTGTAGCGATGAGTTGTAAATATTATTCTTTTTGTTTTTTTGGGAAATGATTTTCCACTCAGGCGATATAATCTCGTATCACGATAAAGTGGTGAAAGTTATGCACAAAAGGTCTGACACAGTGACAGTACAGAATCTTCCATGGTGGCACTCTTTGTTTACATTGCTGCATTGTTTGCGAATGTTTTAAAAGTGAAGAGGAATCCACGATGAGGGTCGTTGATTACAAGATATGTTTCAATTCGATTGTCTTCGTGTCATCTGTAGATTTTGAACTCGAATTGCTAGTTTGCTGATGCTTATTATCGATGTGAAAGCAGAGAAATAGATTGATAAAACTGTCTAAGGGATTAGAATGCTGCTCAAAACCTACTGCGTCTACTAAGCTAGATAGAGAAGAAAAAATCTACAGCTATTCAAACATTATTCTCGAGAAAAAAGTGATTGGAATGAGCATAAGGCTGCACAGCTTCGTAATCAACAACCCTTTGACGATGTGGAACTTTCCTGGACTGCGTGAGCAAAGGGAAGATACGTATCAAATACCAGCAAATATCAAATGTACACTTCTAATCGCTATTAATACTTGTATATAGCACTGCTCTCAATCGTAAATCGCTTGGAAAAAACTCTAATGATCAAGTTGTATATACAAAACAACCGAACGAAGGATCCAAAAAAGTACAAGTTATCATAAAACTGAAATATGGAAAAGAAAAAAGAAAAAAATCCTCTCAAACAAACCAACAAAAACTAGTGAAATGAGAGCCAAAACAAAACCCTTACTAAATCTCATGAAAGGAAATACCAAACGCGCTAGTTACTAAGAGTATTAGGTTTCTTTGAAATACTAAAGTGAGAGAGAGAAAGAGTAAAAAAATCAAACAACTTCAAAGATACTTCTGGTTTACTAGGGAAAAAAATAATGAAAAGAATCGTAAGAATAAAAAGTCTGGCACTTATGCTTTACCTAGATCACCTATTTTAGTCCTGGCTTGTGCAGTCACTGTGCAAATTGCATAACGAATGTTTGTTTCATTTGTGGTCCAAGGGAATTTTTCGTTGGTTTTTAGTCGGTTGGAGTAGTTTATAGTATTTTGAGAGCATTTTTGAGTCAATCGAACCCAAAAATCGTTCATTTTTTTTGCGATTTAATGATTTTTAATTATTAAACATGTTTTGAAATTTCATGTCGAACGAAGTAGTAGTAGATAGTTGTACAGTTGACAAATAAGAGAAAAAATCGTTAATAAGATGATTACACTGCAAATCTTTCGATTGGTTATTGCTACTCAGAGACCAAAATAATTTAAACCGAAGGGGGAGAATGGATCTACCATAGAGAATTGCCTAAATTTGTCGAACTATCGATAACCATGGATTGTTTGCTATCGTTGCTCTGGTAAGTGTTTACGTTTGTTTGCTAACATGTTTTCTTTTTGGTTTTCGTGTTGGTAGTGGAGTTGTGTATGCTTGGGGACAATCAAATCACGAAATTTGATGAAGGCAGTGTGTAGTTGTTTCTTTTTTTTTCGCGATTTTTCGAACGCCGTCAGATTTTTTTTATAATATGTTAACGCTAGTAGTATTGTAATGGTTTCAAGGAGTATATATATCGTAAATGGCATGGATATTAGAAAAAGGAAAACATCAACTTACAGTTTTTGCATTTGCACTTTTTGATGAGAGTTTCGTCTTTGATGTCATCGTGACACGCTTTGCAGTAGAACCATGCTCTGGAAAAAGAAAGAAAACATCCATTGTAATTCTACCCGGAAACACTTCTGAACCCAAGAAGCAATGCAAGCATTATACATGTTTAAATCATGGTCTACAGAGCTCTCATTAAACCAAAATTGTTGCTTTAGAATTTTGCCCATCATTTTTAATCCATAAACATTTTCCATAAACGTCATTAAAAAATTAAAAATCATCATTGTTTACTTTTGTACTCTAAAGTAAATGGACTTATTTGAAAAGTTCTCGTGGTGCGCTCCAAATAATGACCAGCCGACTGGACTAGACTGGTCGACATCTAATAGCGAAGCACAGTGAGACGAAATAAAAAATGTCCCACTATTTTGGCTATTTGCGACGAAACTAGTGTAGCATTTTCTACAACGGTTCTTAATTTTTTAGTACTCTATTTGAATAGTGAAAATTTTTGCTTAAGGAGGGTATACACTAAGATAAAAAAAATATAACTTTTTTATATCTTGCTAAAATTGATGAACATCAATGGAAACATTGTGGATGCAGTCATTTTAAGAAAATTTGCTGAAAACGAAAATTTTCTCTCTCTTAAGTGGACGAAGTTATAGGGTGAATATGGAGCACAAACGGTAGTACTCTCTTAAAAAGCGTTTTTTACCATAACTATTTTGTTTGAATTTAATTTTTTTTTTTTTTCAATGTTCTACAAAGTTGTAATTACTATTTTTGCAGATAAAAGTAAATCGCTATGTTTTCGTTTTAAGGATTTACCTCAATTTTTATGTTATTTAAAACTATCTTTAAGGGGGTGTATTTTGCAGGTTAGCAGGCATTAGCAGGTTATCTCAACGTCATTTCGTTCAGCAACTTATACCCTACTGTTACACATACAATTCATAGGGAGGTCCAAGGGATACCTAATGAATTTTCAAATAAAGTACCTGAATGTTTTGTTATGGTTTTCTGTTTTCATGACCAAGTATGTACATTTATGTCTTCGACAAACAGTGTTGGGTAAATATCAAAAAATCAAATCTCATCGACGCCCAAGATCACGCTTGATTTTCGTAGACAAAAATCAACAAACAAACTACTGCGGTTGATTTTGCAAGCTATGATATCGCAGCTCGGAATATCAATCTAACAAAACTCACCAACTGTAAATCTCAACAAACTGTGGTGAGATTGAGTTTAATGATTTTTGCTGTACACCCGAATGCAACAGAAACTTCCATAACGGCTTGCAGCAGTCTTTTCGCGTCTGCCATCGGTGAAGATTAAAAAGAGATAGCAAACTATGCCTTCTCTTTCTAAAATAAACGATGTGCAATGGAATCATTTTTGTGTCGAGTCAACTCTCAGCTTGATTTTTGCACGTAGTGAATAGTCTCGCAATATTAAAGGAGCTTGTAAAATCAATATCAAGCATGATATTTTGTTCCAATATCACGCGTGATATTGCGAGCGCATGAGACAGGAAAAATGTCAATTGATTTCTGATTTAGCCAACACTGTCGACAAAGTATCGAAACCCATTGTCGGTCCGTTTTCGTAATGGAAACTGCAACTCCAGTTGATGAGATAATTGTTCTGGGTGACTCCAATCTAGCTGGTGTTTCGTGGAAACCATCTCAGAGTGGCTTTCTCTATCCAGACCCTGTACGCTCTGTATTTCAGACAGGATCAGTTAGCCTTCTCGATAGCTATAGTGCAGCAAAGCTACCTCAAATCAATGACGTAGTTAACGAGAACAATCGAAGCTTAGACCTCTGTTTCGTTAGCGCTCAGGAAACTGCTCCAGTTATCTCCACGGCACCTTCTACACTAGTAAAGCAAGTTCCTCATCATCCTCCTTTGGTTGTCACTGTCCAAGATAGTCACGTTCGGGATTTTGAAGACATTTCCACAAACGTGTCATACGATTTTCGGAAAGCTGATCATAGTAGTATCATCGACGTGCTGTCTAGCATAGACTGGGGAAGCGTCCTGGACCCTGATAACGTTGAAACCGCTGCGCAAACTTTTTCACATGTCTTGGCGTATGTCATTAACAGACACGTTCCAAAGGTAGTTCACCGAAAAGGGTCACACTTCCTTGGCAGACGAACCAATTGCGAAAGTTGAAATCGACCAAGCGAGCGGTACTAAGGAAATTCACCAAGTATCGTACGCTGTCGCTGAAAAATCATTACATTAGGCTCAATCATGAGTTCAAGCGAGTTAGCCATCGATGCTATACGCGATTTCAACGTGGGATTCAGAGTAAACTCAAGTCACTCCCGAAGTCCTGGTGATGGTGTTCCATCAGTATTTCTGAAGAAGCATATCGCCAGCTTGCTGACACCGTTGCAGCATCTATTCCGCATGTCCATCTCGAGTGGTATATTTCCATCTTGTTGGAAATTTGCTCATATGTTTTCTGTTCACAAACAGGGAAACAAACGGGACGTGGATAATTACCGTGGAATCACATCGTTGAGCTCAGTTTCGAATTTATTCGAGTTAGTCATCATGGAGTCCCTGCTCTCTCATTGTTTATTTATTTATTTATTTCGTCAACCAACGTAGACTAGTAAGCAGTATCTAAGTAGTGATCAACGCGGCTTCGTTTCCGGTCGTTCTACTACCACTAATCTACTTTGTCTGACATCGTATGTCACGGAAAGCATGACAGAACGGGCTCAAACAGACGTAATTTACACCGACTTGTCGGCTGCATTCGATAAACTGAACCATGCAATTGCGATTGCTAAGATAGATAGACTCGGGGTAAATGGCAACCTCCTGCCATGGTTTCGCTCTCATCTCAGTGATCGCCAGCTGATGGTAACCGTTGGTGAATGTCAGTCTGCTACTTACCCAGCCACGTCAAGGATGCCTCAAGGAAGTCACCTAGGCCTGTTGATTTTCCTGTTGTACTTTAACAACGTGAATCTGGTCTTCGAAGGCCCCTTAAAATCTATATCCGGATCCGTTCTATCGATGACTGTCACTTCCTCCAATGCCAGCTCGAAGCGTTTGCTAACTGGTGCTACTTGAACCGAATGGAGGTCAACCCGCGAAATGTTCAGTTATCACCTTCTCTCGCAAGAAGGAACCGATCATGTTCAATTATGTACTTCAGGAAACAACTATCAGCCGTGTCAACCACGTAAGAGACCTGGGAGTTATTCTGGATTCCCAGCTAACGTATAAGCAACACATCTCGTTCATTGTCGACAAGGCGTCAAGATCTTTGGGATTCATTTTCAGGATTACAAAGAATTTTTCCGATATATATTGCTATACTGGTTCCCTGGAATATTGCTCTGCAGTATGGAACCCAAGCTATAACAATGGTGCTGAAAGAGTTGAGTCCGTTCAGCCTCGATTTCTTCGATTTACTCTGAGTAGAAACCCTTTTCGTCCACCCAGTTATGAAAGTCGATGTCAACTGATTGATCTGGAGCTTCTACGTACTCGGAGATACACTTCGCGGGCCCTGCTCATCGCGAATAGTTTACAGGGTAGAATTGATTGTTCTACAATCCTGGAGAAAATCAACGTGAACGTCCAACCTCGAGCGCTGCGAAATAACGCTATGTTAAGATTGCCTCAGCATCGCACTAACTATAGCATGAACGGTGCTATAGACGGCCTTCAACGTGTGTTCAATCGAGTTTCTTCAGTGTTCGATTTCAACCTGACACGAGAGATGCTACGCCGGCGCTTTTCCCGTATTTTCTCTGACGCAGTAAACCGTTGAATGACCATGTATTTTATTGTATTGTGTATTTTAGTTAGCTGGACTATGTATTTTAATGTTATTCACTTAAACATCATTGGGGCTACACTCAGCCTGTTGATGTAAACTAATAAATTAAAAGCTGCTATCTGAAGCCATCATATGCATATCCGGTCAAGACTGAAGCGTAATGCTCGCGGCGAAACAACAATCTCGATGACTTGGTCCCCTTCAAGTATCTAACAATCTTCTTCAGAGCTTGCAAGTTGCTATCGCTGGGGTGTTGCTGGTATCTCCCCTTATGTCCAACAGCATAATAGATGTCAGGTCTGACGCACAGCATAAGGTACGTCATACTGCCAAGCAGTTTGCGGTAGGGTTGATTAGTACCACAGCTCGATTGGGGAAACGCAAGGTCCTTCTCCATCGGAATTTTCACAGGGTTGCACTTTTCCTTTCCAAATTTCGTCAGAAGTTTGTCAGTGGCCGCCTCCATCGAAAGTGTAATCTTTTTCTCGATTATAGCCATTTCGAATACCAAGGAAATGTCTAACTTCTCCGCAATCTGACATCTCGAATTTCAGCGACAATGTTTTCTTCAGTTGATCTATCATACTAATGTTGTCTCTCATAAGGGGTAGATCATCCACGTATACATAGATCATCACATAGAGTATTTCGCCTCGGATCACCCTGGTGTACAAACAGGGAGAGGTAGCTCATCGATTCTTCCGGTTCGCCTCCTAGCATCGTGCTATAAGGTACCAGGCGATAACCAGGGTAGTTGATCGATAGCTCGATGACGTCATTTCGTTGACGTCTGCAATGGGAAATTCTCATAGCAGGCGTTGACGATGGGACGTTGTCGAGTTGTTGAATAGCAACTATCGTGGTAACTCACCGATTACCTGTCGATCTGCCAAATTTGGAAAGACGTCTGCATTGAATTGTCTCATATAATAATATTCCGCCCACTATATCACAAGAAATTGCGAGTAGCTGAGTGGAATGGAGATAAGCTAAGCATTGGGTACAGGACCAAGTCTCCCCTGGGTGGTGCCAAAAGATGAGCGCAATAGAATCATCAAGTTGCCAAAAGGCACGGAATGAGACTATTGCATGGCTGGGTTGACAAAGTCTTCCATTCGTTAGTCATTTCAGGTGGACTGTTCTAAAAAAAAAATTTAGGTGGGCGTTGGCCAGATTTGGATTTTTCAGATGTAATCCTGGATAGGACCCTGTCATTGAACGTCACGTGAAAGTGGAACTTAATGAAGGCCTAAGTACTTTTTCGTAGTT